ACCTCTGACCACAGAGCAGCTTTCAGAACCACTGACCACAGAGCAGCTTTCAGAACCACTGACCACAGAGCAGCTTTCAGCACCGCTGACCACAGAGCAGCTTTCAGCACCTCTGACCACAGAGCAGCTTTCAGAACCACTGACCACGTTTCATTCTGCTTCTCTAGAACAGCACCTGCCAAGGTAGAAGGAGAACACGGGCTCGTCCAGGAGCTGCTGGGCAATCATGTTGTCAAAGACGGGGTTTCCAAGGATCTCTGCCAGGGACTGGTAGCCCAGTCCAAGAACTCCATCAAATTTTGCCATTACGAACGTGGACCCGGGTTCATAGACGGACTCTCCAAACTCCTGGTCCACAGTTGTCAGTCCTGCGATCTGAAACAGAAGAACAGCAACACTTTGTATCTGGTTCCTGTTTTGAACGTCACTAACGGCAGAGTGCACCTAACGACCTTCAGCGTGTCTCTTCCCATGACTCCCAGCAGGTGTCCTGAGCCGTAGTGAATCCCAAATGTTCGACCGTCGTGATGAAAACTGTTCGACTCGAAGGCCTTGAAACGTCTGTGCAGAGCTGCAAACGATCACATCCTCATCACTTCGAGGACATTTACCTCCTGAACACCACATTTGTTTGAATGTCACTTCAAGGGCGTTCTCTTTGCTGGACTTGTGTCAAACTGGTCAGGAGCTCCCATGGTGGGACAGCGTGAACACATTTCAGACCTTGAACTTCTTATCAGTTTTAACAAGCTCAAACAGTCGGGCCGCCCTGACCCGCAGACCGGTCTCTAGTAAAAGTACTGTGTACTTTGTGTACTGTGTGTCGTACCGCAGGCCTGGCTGACGCAGTAGGACGACGGCACCCAGAGGTCCGATGATCCGGTGTCAAAAATCACAGAGAAGTTCTGCTCCGGAGTCCCCAAACTGATCTCACCGTAATACTGAGCCTGGAAGACCAAAACACGACGCTGACTGCGATTAAAACAGGAAGTGATGTCATTAAGGTAAACAAAAACAGGAAATCAACACAACAACATGGTTCGGTCAAAGTTTTATTTTTTAGAAGAAGAACAGCTGCTTCTAAAAAGTTTCAACAGAAAGATTCAACAAAACATCCGATGATGCAATCAAGAACAAACGGAAAGTTTCTGAAAGAACGTGGACCAAAACTCCAACATCCAACATTCAGCATCCAACATCCAGCATCCAACATTCAGCATCCACGGTTCAACATTCAGCATCCAACATCAATCATCCAACATTCAACATCCAACATTCAACATCCAACATCCAGCATCCACGGTTCAACATTCAGCGTCCAACATCAATCATCCAACATCCAAGGTCCAACATTCAGCATCTAACATCCATCTTCCAACGCTCAAAATTCATCACCCAACATTCAGCATCCATCATCCAATATCCAAGATCCAACATTCAGCATCCAACATTCAAAATTCAGCATCCAACATATAACATTCAGCATGTAACATCCAGCATCTAAGGTACAACGTCCAAAATCCAACATTCAACGTCCAACATCCATCATCCAACGTCCAACATTCAGCATCCAACATCCAAGGCTCAACATTCAGCATCCAACATCAATCATCCAACATCCAAGGTCCAACATTCAGCATCCAACATTCAACATCCAAGGTTCAACATTCAGCATCCAACATCCAAGGTCCAACATTCAGCATCCAACATTCAACATCCAAGG